AGAGATGAAGAGAGAATGATGGTTACCGTGTTATTTTGTAATGCATCTGAGAGATGTTGTGCTCCGACAATGTCGACTTGATTGCGAGAGAGATTTAGTGTGGTGAGTGTCTGTGTGAAAAAGTGACGATAGTAAAATGAGAGAGATGAAGAAAGAATGAGGGTCACCGTATTGTTTTGTAATGCATGAGCGAGATGTTGTGCTCCGACAGCTCTGATGCAATTGTCTTGGAGATTTAGTGTGGTGAGTGTCTGTGTCAAAAAGTGCCGATAGTAAAATGAGAGAGATGAAGAGAGAATGAGGGTCACCGTGTTGTTTTGTAATGCATTAGCGAGATGTAGGGCTCCTTCGTCTCCGATTCGATTGAATTGGAGATCTAGTGTGGTGAGTGTCTGTGTAAAAAAGTGCTGATAGTAAAATGAGAGAGATGAAGAGAGAATGAAAGTCACCGTATTGTTTTGTAATGCATGAGCGAGATGTTGTGCTCCTTGGTCTCCGATTTGATTGCTGTAGAGGTCTAGTGTGGTAAGTGTCTGTATGAAAAAGTGACGATGGTAAAATGAGAGAGATGAAGAGAGAATGAGAGTCACCATGTTCTTTTGTAATGCATCAGCGAGATGTTGTGCTCCGACAGCTCCGATTTTATTGGAGGAGATATATAGTGTGGTGAGTGTCTGTGTGAAAAAGTGGCAATGGTAAAATGAGAGAGATGAAGAGAGAATGAGGGTTACCGTGTTGTTTTGTAATGCATCAGCCAGATGTTGTACACCAACAGCTCCGATTTGATTATATTGAAGATGTAGTGTGGTGAGTGTCTGTGCGAAAAAAATGGCGCTAATAAAATGAGAGAGATGAAGAGAGAATGAGTGTCACAGTGTTGTTTTGTAATGCATCAGCGAGATGTTGTGTTCCTCCGTCTCCGATTCGATTCCAGTAGAGATTTACTGTGGTGAGTGTCTGTGTGAAAAAGTGACGATGGTAAAATGAGAGAGATGAGGAGAGAATGAGGGTCACCGTGTTGTTTTGTAGTGCAGCTGAGAGATATTGTGCTCCGACAGGTCCGATGTGATTGTCTTGGAGATGTAGTGTGGTGAGTGTCTGTGTGAAAAAGTGGCGCTAGTAAAATGAGAGAGATGAAGAGAGAATGAGGGTCACCGTGTTGTCTTGTAATGCATGAGCGAGATGTTGTGCTCCGACAGCGTCGATTTGATTGCGAGAGAGATTTAGTATGGTGAGTGTCTATGCGAAAAAATGGGGATGGTAAAATGAGAGAGATGAAGAGAGAACGAGGCTCACCGTGTTGCCTTGTAATGCATCAGCGAGATGTTTAGCTCCTTCGTTTCCGATTCGATTCCAGTAGAGATTTAGTGTGGTGAGTGTCTATGTGAAAAAATGGCGATGGTAAAATGAGAGAGATGAAGAGAGAATGAGAGTCACCGTATTGTTTTGTAATGCATGAGCGAGATGTTGTGCTCCTTGGTCTCCGATTTGGTCGCCGTTGCGGTCTAGTGTGGTGAGTGTCTGTGTGAAAAATTGACGATGGTAAAATGAGAGAGATAAAGCCAGAATTAGGATCATCGTGGCGTAGTGTAATAAATGTAGAAGCAGAAGAAATTTGTTTGTTGATTTATTTTTGTATGATAACAGTGGGCGGTATGTAACGCCCTTTATATAATATTTTATGTGATTGGTTATTGAATTTTTTAACAGAATTGGAGAAAAGAGGAACAAAGGAATGATTGTTCAACAAAATATGTAAGAAAATAGTCATATAAGGATGGGTGAGAGGTTTCCCCGTTTTGATATTTTAGCTTAATATATGTGGTATATGAAAAACGATAAGTATTCATGTATTGAATGATTATATTCAAATGTCATGTGTTACGTTGAATGTTACTTTTTTCCAGTATAAAAATATATGGTATTGTTGAATGAAATATTTCAATGTTTATCAACATTGTATCATAGTTATGTGAGAAGAAATTAGTGTAGTGCTATCTCTAGTAAGACAAATCTGAATGTGTACGATAGAATAACATTTTATAGTGGTTTGAAAAATGGCTTGAAGTATTAGTTGGATCGAATTCAATGAACATTTACGTTTTATGTAGATGAGGGTGTGGGTGTGGATATAAATTGGAAGAAATGCTACACCCACACGCTTGATTGTTCAACCGTTGAAAGAATAGGTTCGTGATTTGGGAAAATCTGTGCAGAACAAGCTAAAACTTTCAGTATGTTTAGCCCCCTGTAGCTCACTCTTCTGGAAAAATATCATCGAGAAACCTTAATGAGAAGGAGTTGTGTATCAATCATGATCTGGTTTTACACGAAGCTCTCATTCACTCAATATATTATAAAATGACTTCAGCTCATGATTGAATAAATATCATAATTTAGATGTGATCTCTATGCAATAACATTGGAATTCGGTCGTAGAAATGCAGTGGAACAGACAAAATTCGATGAACAAACGATTTTCATAGAGTAAGTTTTTTAAAACAAACCTCCTCAAATGTATGAAGACAAATGCAGGACTTAGTAACGTTTTGACCGTCTCTTCTCGTTCATATAATCAACCTATGATAGAGTTGCACAAATTTGAAATCTAGATTATAATATTTACTCAAAAGTTGAAGTCATTTCCTAA